AATCCATGGATTAAGTTTGAAATATTGAGATAATCTCTACAAGTATTTGATGGGATATTGGATCAAATACTTGTAATGAATGCACAGAAAATTTCTGCGACTGAATGCAATGAATGACTGAATGCCTAAATGCCTGAGTGTTTCAAAATAGTCTAACGATTAGACTCTAACCCTTGACATCAAAACTTTTGATCAGAAGTATTGAAAAATTGAGTCAAATATAAGTTTATAAAACATAATAATGTGTAAAGATTTTGAATTTGATTGGTATAGCTGTGCATTTAGGTATCAGCTAATTATGATTAGGATTTGTCAATTACAGAATATTCATGCATTTACAAATAGTTTTATATTGCAATTTATTAATTCATTTGGTGTATGACCAGACATTTAAATAAAATTGTAAAATATTTGATTAATTTCCAGACAAAAGTCTCGACAATTCAATTTGGAATTTGTTATCAATATTTGTTTGAATGCAGTAAAAGTAGTTTATGAGCAATCAATTAGTTATAAAGTATTCATTGGGTGACTATCTTATATCAAATGATAAGTTTTTATCAATTTGTTGTCATTTTATTTTTATTTAATAAATTATTTAATCGATTAAATGATATACAAGAAGACAAACCAGACTCTCATCAGAATGACCCGAATATTCTCTCAAAAACTTCCAATACTTTCATAATTAATATTTAAATAAACTTAAAATATTACATCATTTAATAAATGAATGTGTTATATAGATGTTGTCATAAATATTTGCATTCAAATATTGAATGTGATTTAATTTTCAATCACTGTCTAAGTTATGTATGGAAATTAAATATTATTGAATTGTTTGACATGGATACAAGATTTATAAGTTTATATTTCTATTAATTGTAATACTACTACTGTGTTGTTAATAACTTATTTAAAGTAATGTTATGCTTCAAAAAGCAAACAATATATAAATAACAAATATTCCTGATTAACTCTATAAACATTACAGTAAAAGTAAACTTTTAATTTTTTATTATAAATGTTTATAGAAAACAATTAAAAGTATTTAATAAACTATTTTCGGACTAAAAACTAAATAAGTTATTGACACAATTTCGCAATCTATAAGTGAACTACAAATTTGACATTTAATTTGATATTACTTTTAAAAGTTATAAAAATATGTCTTGAATTTGTCACGTCTTAGGGAATTCTTGACATAAATTACATTTTCAGATAATATCTCATAAAATCAAGAGTTTTATTTATTTCCCAAAACTTTTTCCACAAACAAAAACCTTTAAAAAGTGCGAAACAAGTCATTTGACTATTAAATAAAAACCTCATAAAACACATGAAGTGAATGACAATCTATTGATTAGTTTGACATAAGATAATAGCGATAATGAATGGCAACACCTCTTCATCACTCAATTGTATAAAAACCCAAAAATTAAAAAATGAGACAAAATTTCCAAATTCTTGAGGAATTTATTATTAACAAAAAATACAGTAATACTAATTGAAAGGGAATGGCTGTTAGTGTTGGTGGACCCATACTCCTAATAGATCCGTCGCAGAACTATAGACCCGACTACAAAGATGTCGAGGAATACCGGATCCATAGTAACAATCAGGTCTGTGTTGTGTCTCTAAGGACTGGTATCTAATGTCTAACTAATGATATTTGTCTGAAAAGGACGACGAGATGCAGAAAATGATTTACGAAACCTATCGGCAAATGCATAGCAAACAGTCGGTGGACTTCGTGAGGGACCGGATGTCTCATTGGACTCAATTCAATACCATAGAGTTGCCAATCATGGAAGCCTTGGATAAGCTGAACAACTTTGTGGACGAAAGTGATCCGGATACAAGTCTACCCAATTTGGTGCACGCATTTCAGACGGCGGAAGACATACGCAAAGCGCACCCGGATTTGGATTGGTTTCACTTGACGGGTCTGATCCACGACTTGGGAAAAGTTATGGCCATTTATGGTGAGCCCCAGTGGGCAGTGGTGGGCGACACCTTTCCCGTCGGGTGCGCCTACGGAGACAGTAATGTCTATAAGAAGTTGTTTGATGAGAATCCCGACGCAAAGAATCACAAATATAATACTAAATACGGAATGTATGCCAAGAATTGTGGCTTAGATCAGGTGCTCATGAGTTGGGGTCACGACGAGTACATGTATCGGGTGCTCAAGAAAATGAGAATCCCGACGCAAAGAATCCCAAATATAATACTAAATACGGAATGTATGCCAAGAATTGTGGCTTAGATCAGGTGCTCATGAGTTGGGGTCACGACGAGTACATGTATCGGGTGCTCAAGAATCACAAGACTTGTACCCTTCCAGAGGAGGCCCTCTATATGATCCGTTTCCACTCGTTTTATCCGTGGCATAAGGGAGGNGGAGGCCCTCTATATGATCCGTTTCCACTCGTTTTATCCGTGGCATAAGGGAGGGGACTATTACCACCTCTGCTCTCATAAGGACCTCAAAATGTTGGACTGGATTCGGGAGTTCAATAAATTTGATCTCTACTCCAAGAGCCCAGAATTGCCCGATATTAAGACCTTGATACCTTATTATCAGTCACTCATTGATAAATATATACCAGGCATAGTTAAGTTTTAAACTGGATTCGAGAGTTCAATAAATTTGATCTCTACTCCAAGAGCCCGGAATTGCCTGATATTAAGACCTTGATACCTTATTATCAGTCACTCATTGATAAATATATACCAGGCATAGTTAAGTTTTAACGATGATAGGGTTATAAATGGATAGCTATATGTATACAATAAAAGTCTTATGATTGTAGTTAACTGTATTTGTTTAATAAATTTGTTTTAAATTTATTTACTACTGTATTTATAATTTTTATATTAATGATTAAAATATTTTTTAGTAATAAAAATATTTTATTGTTAAGTCTGGGAATGAGTTATGTTAACCATTAGGACAAGGTCTAATTATCTAAATTAATGGTAGCAAATATAAGAATGTGTACATTTCCCATTTTAAATGACACGTAAGTTTCTGTAAGTTTATGAATATAATAGTCTCCGTACAGATCGACTGTAGATACTTGCCAATTATAAGTAGCATATTGTATTTGCATTGCCATACAGATAGTTGCTGTCAATTGTGTAAAATTATCGCATTTGTCAATGGCATCAATACAATCATTTTCACATCCGATAACATACTCTCATTCATATCGTTGTCCATAATATCAAATTCACGACTGATTTTTCCACTTTGAAACCTCTTTTTAAAATGACCGTAATTGTACTGCATATGAATGAATATACAGTAGATTTGTAATTATATATTCATATAAATATCGTATTCTTTATACTTATCATACTTCGTGTGTCTTATAAATTATAATTTTCAACCCATGGATAGCGATGGATAAGCAATGTTTGCTCGAGTGACCAATCTTACCATTATATTCATTGTATTTCCCAACGAATGTGCCAATTATCACCAAACTCATCCTCCAACTTTTCTTTCAAATGGTCACAAAAATCACTGAATGAATTGCAGTCAACAATATAATGTCTAGCATGCTGCAATATATTCTCGGTCATTTCCGCATCGCATTTATTACGAATAATTTCCACATCAAATAGATTTGTCCGAGCTGAATTCAATAATACACCTTGATTAATCTGAAATGGCTTTAAAATATAACTCGTAAAAATGCATTGTTCAATAATTAAATGCTACTGTCGGATAAAGTAATGCATTTAATTGTAGGTTTTGATTACTCACAAGTGATATATCGGCGATAGTTTGCCGTTGAATTCAATTCATGATTTAATTTATTATTTTCGACATTCTTTAGGCTTAACTCCAACTTTGTCTCCTTAACCAAAGCAAGCAATGCGGCCACACAATTATGACCCGGCTTTTTGACACAATAGCACTGGTCACATTTAGTCACATTAAATTGGCAACTAGTAGTGTGCTTGGTCAAGTTTTCTAGTTTCACTACTTCATGGCAGCCCTTCTCTTTGTAATCGCAACTGATTTTTAAATTTTGTAACATATTTACGATTGCCTGAAACATAATATATTATACAGTATAGAATTATAGCAAAATTTACGAACGAAATATATTTTTATATATTTATATCTAGTGGTTATATATTTAAAAGTACCTTGGTGGTTGGGTTAGGTGTGGAGTAGTTAACGGCTCCCTATCGTGTGGACAAGTATTGTGGTCTTGAAGCCATACATTAATACAATACTGGCAATACATTTGTAAGCAGCAAGGTGATACTACTGGACAGCGTAATATATCACGACATATACTACACGTCAGTTCATCCCTTTCCGATTCACTTAAATCAACAAATCGGTCGATACTATAACCGGACATTATTTTACGATAATTTTGTTCACACTTTATGATACATTAAAACCTCTTTATTGTGATTATTAAATATGGCCATAATGTTTGCCAATTACTAATGCGAATAGAAATATGATCATTTAAACTATCATATCACTTAATTGTTATCTAGTTCATTTATAAACAAAACTAAAATATGAAACAAATATTTATTTTATTAACTTATGAATCATAAGTTATGAATTGAGTTGGGATTTAATTTTTATGCATTTTTATCAGTACTTAAATTTATGTAAAATAAATGAACAATTTTCAAGTTATCAAAACATTTAGTAGAAAATTCTACTTTATTGGTATTCACGTTATTGTCATATCAGTTAAATATGATATGAATATTTAGTTTACTTTTATCATTAAACTGATTTACATTGAATTAAAGTTTTGTTTAATTCACTTGAAATAGTAATTTATAAAAAAAGATACTTTTATTAAAAATATAATTTATGTTTTGCGAGAATATTCTGTGTATTGGTGTAGAATTTAAAAGATTTGATGCTTTATAAGTACTTATACTGTATAAGTTATACAGTAGTGAATACAATTTGAATGAATACAAGTTTTAAGCTTACAAAACATTTATTAGAAAATAAAATAAAATTATATGTGAATTCTCAAATAAAATATGAATGCTTTAAAACGTATTATATTAAGAATTTATTATAAAAACACTAAAAATAATACATTTGTTATCAAATAAAATGAATGCTTTAAAAATATTTACTTCCAATCAATTTATATACTAATTGATTTGTAACACCATTTACTGTATATTAAATGAAATACATTTTAGTTGTACTGGATGCATTACAGTAGATGTTTAAATATTATGTAAGGATTTTATTGTAGAGTTTTAGTTGCCTGGATTAAAATGTTTGTTGATACTATGAATTATACAGCATAGGATTGTATAGACCTTGATGTGATCTAAATTACCATTAAAGGCAATGTTTAGTCCCAAATATAATTAACTTGACATTTCCAATTTGAAAGCGCACGTATGCGCTATTTTCATGGTGAATGTTGTAGCTGCCATAAAAATCATTAGTAAATGTATGCCACGTATAAGTAGGATATCGCTTTTTCATTTCACTGCCAATAGTTTTTGTCATACCGGAAAAGCCATCACATTTATCAATGGCATCAAATGCAACCATTTTTACAGCCGATATCATTGTTTCATTCATTTTGTTTTTTATAATATTCAATTCACGCTTTATTTTTCCACTTTGAAACCTCCGCTTGAAATCATCAAAATTTGACTGTATGTTTAGAAACACAATTTAAGTTTATAAATTTAATAACGTAGTTTTTATAGTTTTCAAACATGCCTCGTGTGTAACATAGGTTTTAATACTCAATCGGTCGAACACTATGTGTAAGTAATACCTCTTATAACGACAGTCCGAATCGTATTCATATCGTTTGCCAGCGATTACGTGCCAACAATCACCAAACTCATCCTGCAACTTTTCTTTCAAACGCTTAGAAAATTCATAAAATGAATTGCATTCAAGAATATATTGGCGAATGAATTGCATTATATTCGCAGTCATATCGTCATCGCATTTATTATCAATAATTTCATGATCCAAAATATTTGCGCGAGCTGAGTTCAATATTGCACCAGCATCGACCTATAATACATGCAAAATATTATTTTAATCAAATATATGTTAATTTCAATTACCACTAAATTTTGGGTAGTATTTTGAGCTCTCGCTGGTGACATGACTGAGATATTTGGCGTAGTTGAGTTTAATTCCTTTTTTAATTTGTCATTTTCCAAATTTGATTTCTTAAGCAATGCTCGCAATTCTTGCACACAATTATGACCAGGCTTTTTAAAACAATCACACTGGTCGCATTTAATTGTATTATATTTGCAACCGACTGTGTGCTGGGTCAAATTTTCTAATTTGACAACCTCTTTGCAACCTTTATCTTTGTAATCACAACTGATTTTCAAACTTTGTAACATATTTACGAGTGCCCTGAATAAATATACATTTTCACATAAGTCCTTGAAAATATAGCAAGGCTAAATGGTAATTTATTATTTAGATATAATATTTTAACAGTACCTTGGTGGTCGTGTTAACCCACTCGTAGTTAAAGGTTTCCTATCTTGAGGACAGGTATTGTTAGTGTGAAGCCATTCATGTATACACCCCTCGCAATACATTTGTAAGCAGCAAGGTGATACAACTGGACAACATATTATGTCCTGACATATACTACACGTCAGTTCATCCCTTTCCGATTCACTCAAATTGATAAACCGGTTGATATTATACCCGAACATTATTTGTGGTATTTATATATTTTTAACAAACAGTTATTACCCACTTAAACAATTTATATTTTATGTAAAATATTAATATTTATAAGTTATGCTAATATATTTTCAACAGTTCATAGCAATAGTGTATGATAATAGTTACTGGTAACAAGTATACAATAATAGATAACTGTGCATTGTACATTGCTCTGTATAATTATTCACTGAGAAATGAATTGTTATTTAAGAAATATAATGTTAATACAGTATTTACTGTGATTATTATTATTATTGCAATAATTTATATCTATTTTGTTATATTGTCTATAGGTATGATTAAATTTCATTATAATGGTATTTTTACTCATTTTTAATATAAAATGAATATTTAGTTTACATTTATTATGAAACTGACGAGTAATTTACATGTGAATGAGCTTAACATTCAATTAATGATTTATTTAATTCTCTTTAAATTGTATTATAATTACAAAAATAAAAGTTTATTTGAAACATAATTTATGCTGCATAATTATGCAATTTTGTATAAATTAATTTATTCTGTAACTTATGCTGAATATAATACTAAATACGGAATGTATGGCAAGAATTGTGGCTTAGATGAGGTACTCATGAGTTGGGGTCACGACGAGTACATGTATCGGGTGCTCAAGAATCACAAGACTTGTACCCTTCCCTCGGAGGCCCTCTATATGATCCGTTTCCACTCGTTTTATCCGTGGCATAAGGGAGGGGACTATTACCACCTCTGCTCTCATAAGGACCTCAAAATGTTGGACTGGATTCGAGAGTTCAATAAATTTGAT